CTTTTTTTTTGAGACAGAGTCTCACTTTGTTGCCCAGGCTAGAGTGAGTGCCATGGCACAGCCTAGCTCACAGCAACCTCAAACTCCTGGGCTCAAGCAATCCTGCCTAAAAAAAAAAAAAAAAAAGGATCTGGGTTTCATGGAAGAGATGAGGGATAGAATATAAATCTGGGAGTAGTCACCAAATAGATGGTGTTTAAACCATGAAACTTGATGACAGCACCAAAGAGAATGTATTTGAAGAGAAGAGGTCTGAGGATTCAAGATAAGAGGCTGAAGAAAAATGAAGAGTTGGCCAAGGATACTGAGAGGTGAGGTAGTAGTGAAATAGAAGTGTGATGTCTTAAAAACCAAGTGAAGACTATAGGCAGGAGGCCAGTATTCAATTGTGCCAAACAGTGCTTTAAGATGAAGTCTAAGAAATGGTTGCTTCAGAGGTCAATACTCCCTCCCTACTGAGAATATATCAAAAGTCTTTCAATTCATCTCTCTCTTTGGCTCCAAACAATACTGGTGTTTTCTGCTCAAACACTCCTCATTCTTTTTTTGGTCTCAGCGCAAAGGTCATGCAATCTGGGAAGCCTGACCCCAAGATTAATGCTAGTGTTACCAGGAAAATGATACTCTATCATGAAACATATTACCCTAATAGTCTATTTAATTGTCTTTCCTGGGCTTGATCGTAAAGTCTTTGAAGTCAGACACAAGTCTATTTTGTTTATTTCTGTGCCCAAACCATGCCAACTCTGAGCATAGTGCAAAGCTCGTGGTACACAGATATCCCATAAATACTCACAAAACCAATGGATAAATGCTATAACTCAGTGGCGCAAGCGATCACTTTCTGTAGGCTTAACTTTGGAAGCCCCTAGAAGGAAGTGTCTAAACTAAGAGAGGGCGTGGAAGGCCCAGGTTAGGGCTGTCTCCCATGCCATTAGCTTTGCAAGTGTGATATGAATCCCTTTGCTGATTTCAAACTATTCCCCTGACGGGCACCTTTTAGGTGTCCACCCGACCCCTAACTAACCACTTTCCCTCTCTCGCAACACTCACCCAGCCGCGTGGTGCGTTCCCGTGGTGCCGCGGTACTGACCCCAGTCCCATGCTCGGTCTCGAGTTCCTCCTGTTGCTGCCGCGCTTGCTGCAAAATCCGTCGGCTCAGCCGCGGCCCCACATACTCTTCCTCCTCTTCTCCGGTTCCGCGACCCCGCCGCTTTTCCCGAGCCCCTGTCCGCACCGCGTCCCCAGCCAGGATCTGCTCGGCCAGGGGTGCATGTTTTTCCTGAGCCCCGGCCCCTCGGGCCGCCTTGAATTTGGGCATTTTTCTCGAAAAAATTGCCGGAAAGGTTCACACGTGGGGACGGAGAAATGGCTGGAATGCGCTTGCGCAGTGAATTCCTAGGTGCCAAGACGCCTCGCAGCTATCACAGTCCCCCCTAGCGGTTGGAGGCCAGAAGTGCCACCAGCGCCGCCCCACCCACCAAAAGAGCTCCCGGGTTCCGGAGCTGAACTCCCGATTAAATTCATTGTCTTTAATGTTGGTTTCTCTAACTGGTGGCAGGCTAAGCCTCGCTTTGCTAGCTTCGTGGAACTAGGCCTAGGGTGCCTAGCCAAACGAGAAGATCCGAAGCTGCAAGCCTGGGGGCGGCACTCGACCGGCTAACGTCACCGAAGGCGTCACCGACGGGGTGTCCAGACACGCGTTCCCTGTGGGCGAGTCCACCCGGCGCTCTGGTTTTACGTACTTCCGGAGCTCCTGCTGCGACCAAAGCTTGCGTTAGGGGCGTCAGTTAATGTAGGCTGACAGAGAACTCTTCATTTCGACTGTTTGATCCTGCCACCCTCTGGCCGGACGCCATGGGAGTGACTTGGTAGGATGGCAGGGATTTTGTGGGGGCGGCCTGGGATTGTGAAGGGCCCTCGGAGCTTGGAGTGGCTCCCGGAGGAGGACTAGGACCAAGGTTCGCTGTCCCCCGGGAGCTGAGCAAAATGTCCTCGGGTTGTGTGGATGAGGGGACACTGGGCGGGCCGCGGGTTCTATGGGCCTGTTTCTTCAGCGATGAGCTCCTTCCTCTTGCAGGGCAAAGGTTTTATCACATTAACCTATCAGTGGTTGTGTACCACCTCCTTCCCTTTTTTTTTTTTTTTTTGGTACATCTTCCCGTGAGGTCTTAGTACTGTTGGGAGTAGAATCTCAGGGTCAGAAATAGGATTTCTGGACTAAGACCGCAGACAGGCCTGCAGACGGGCCTGCAGAGTTTGGGTGATAGATAACGAGGACAGAGTATCTTTTTTTTTCTTCCGATTTTCTGTGTCCCTTCCCCAGCCGCCAGATGTTAGAACAGCCTGTGTTTGGTTCTTATTTGCTCACTTTAAGATCTTGGATCTAGAGGAAAAAATAAGGCTATTGGGAATTAGGAGATTGTGGTTCCGGGCACTGTACCTCTTCAGGACCTGTTTCCTACTATGTTTAATTACATGATTGCTCGAGTTTCCATAGATTATTTAACATGTTACAAGTCTCAGTTGGAAGATGAGGTGGTGGAGAAAGATAACGGCCCAGTGCTCTTGGAGGTGTTAGTTCCAAGGTGCTAGGTATCAGGACTGTTCTTTCTTTCTTTCTTTTTTTTTTTTTTTTGTTGTAATCTCTGTAGATGTAAGCATCTTTCCCATCAGAGAAGCCTGGAGGTCAGGATATCTGAAGGCAGTGGCTATATGCTTCTCATATATTAATAAAAGCTTGTGTGGGGGAAAATACTTTTCCTCCTGGGTAGCCCTTTCAGGTTTCTCAGTGATTATACTCTTTTCCTTAGTTGACATCTTGATCCTCCTCTGAGTCCTTCCTTTAGTGTAAGAGGGATGTGTGATGGATGGGAGTGGAAAGGTTGCAGCACAGAGGCTTGGAACCTTGGGAGTCTTTGCTATTTCAATAGAGAAGGCAGCCCAAGTGAAAGGGTTCTCTGTTGACATTCTTATTAACTTTCAGAATCCTGGGACTTCTCTTCCTTGTAGCATCAGTTTTAGGGATTCTCTTATATTTTAAAGTAAGTCACATCATAAGCATTGCTTATCAGTGCTTTTCCTGATATAGTAGTAACAATTTTTACATTTTTATTTATTATTATTATTATTATTTTTGAAACAGTTTTACTCAGTCACCTGGCTAGAGTGCAGTAGTGTCATCATAGCTCACTGCAACCTCCAACTCCTGGACTCAAGCAATTCTCCTGCCAGCCTCCCTAGTAGCTGGGAGTACAGGCATGCGCCACCATGTCTGGCTAATTTTTTCTATTTTAGACAGGGTCTTACTCTTGCTCAGGCTGGTCTTGAAATCCTGAGCTCAAGCAGTCCCTCTGTCTTGGCCTCCCAGAGTACTAGCATTACAGGTGTGAGCTGCTGCACCAGCTAGTAGTTACAATTTTTAGCATCAGTGGGACTCTACCTTAATAGAATCATTTAGTTGATCATAAAATAATGCACTGTCACCCAAAATTCAATCATCTATGACTGTCTTCATGATTCTTATATAAGCTGAGTGCCACCTGTACTATTGTTCATTAATTTTTAAAGAAAAAATTCATCTCTTTTTCTTATAAATACTGTAACAACTACATGCCTTGATAGACAGTCTAGAATAGCCATTAAGAACAGGGACGTGGAGCAAAGTTAATGCGCTTTGAATCTTAGCCATACCACTGATGACCTAGTGCAAGTTATTTAACCTGTCTGGGCTGTATTTCAGTGTCCTCGTTGGTAACAAGTTGATAAATAACAGTTCCTCTCAGGGCTGTTGTGAGAGTTCGAAGAGTTATTAATAATTCATCTAAAGGCCTCAGGAACTGTCTGGCACATAGTTGGTACCTGGTAATTGTTATCTACCACTCTAAAGAGGAAGCCAGTTTCACTCACCACCATACAAGGAAACCTTGGAAATAATGCTTTTGTTCCATGGTTTTTGGCATAAATACCTCTTGGAGATTTTTGTTTGTTTGTTTTTAGACAGTCTCACTCTCTTACCTGGGTTAGAGTGCCGTGGCGTCAGCCTAGCTCACAGCAACCTCAAACTCCTGGGCTTAAGTTATCCTCCTGTCTCAGCCTCCCAAGTAGCTGGGACTACAGTCACGCACCACTGTGCCTGGCTAATTTTTTTTTCTTTCTATTTTTAGTTGTTTGGCTAATTTATTTCTATTTATAGTAGAGACAGGGTCTCACTCTTGCTCAGACTGGTCTCAAACTCCTGAGCTCAAGCAATCCTCTCGCCTTGGCCACCCAGAGTGCTAGGATTACAGACATGAGCCACTGCGCCTGGCCCCATTTCCATGGTTTTGATTAAATTCTTTAAATACTGTTGCCTTTCACTTCCAAAGATTATAAATTTGAGGCCTGCTTTCTCTTTGTTCCTAGGGCTTTTGAATAGAACTTTCTGCGATGATGGAAATGTTCTATATCAGCATTGTCCAATACACTTGCCTCCAACCATATATAGCTTCAGGTTACTGTACTGGACAGCTCAAGTTCAAAGAGTTGGTAAAAACATACTAGCCTCAAACTGAGTTTTTTCTCCCTGATATAGTCAGACCTGAAAGAATTGCAAAAGGAATCCCCTTCTGATAATACGACACAGAATTATTGAATGCTGAGTTTTTGTGCCACTTTACACAAACATTGGCATACCTGCCACGCTTGGGAAGTTCATTGCCCTGGTATAAGAGTCCTGAGACCTATGCTCTAGTTTTAGAGAAGCTCTCAGAGACTGTGGGCCTCTATTTCCTCGTCTTTAAAATGGAGTTGGGGGAGGGAGAGGTCAGATCAAGTGTAACTTCTCTAAGATAATTTCTATTCTGACGAGCTGTGATTCTGTGAGTGGTTCAGTGAGTGCACGTGTCTCTGGATTCTGATAATTTGGTGCTCTCATTTCCAGTGTGTCTCAGATGCCTGTGGCTGAGGGCAAGAGTGTCCAGCAGACTGTGGAGCTCCTCACTCGGAAATTGGAGATACTTGGAGCAGAGAAGCAAGGAACATTTTGTGTGGACTGTGAGACTTACCATACAGCTGCATCTACCCTTGGCAGCCAAGGTCAGTGAGACTGGTGGCAAGATGTGTTCCTGAATTTGTTATTTCTTGGTCCCTCATCTCTTAGGATGGGGTTTTGTAAAGCTTTATTGAAGTATAATTGATATGCAAACAGTTATATACACTTAATGCATACATTTTAATGAGTTTGGGCATATGCATACCTGAGATACCATCACCACAATCAAGATTACTGAACATAACTATCACCTCCAAAAATTCTCCTGTGTTCTTCTGTGTGTTTTTGTTTTGTGTCATTTGGTATTTTATTTTATTTTATTTTATTGAGACAGAGTCTCGCTTTGTTGCCCAGGCTAGAGTGAGTGTCGTGGCATCAGCCTAGCTCACAGCAACCTCAAACTCGCTGGCCTCAAGCAATCCTGCCTCAGCCTCCCGAGGTAAGCTGGAACTACAGCCATCCGGGCACGCACCCATGCCCCGCTAATTTTATATATATATATATACTATATATATATATATCTATATATATATATAATATTAGTTGGCGCCATTAATTTCTTTCTAATTTTATAGTAGAGACGGGTCTCGCTCTTGCTCAGCTGGTTCGAACTCCTGACCTCGAGCAATCCGCCCGCCTCGGCCTCCCAGAGTGCTAGGATTAGAGGCATGAGCCACAGCGCCCGGCCTCATTTGGTCTTTTATTTATTTTTATTTTTATTTATTTTTTTAATTTATTTTTTATGAGACAGAGTCTCGCTTTGTTGCCCAGGCTAGAGTGAGTGCCGTGCGTCAGCCTAGCTCACAGCAACTGCAACCTCCTGGGCTCAAGCAATCCTGCTGCCTCAGCCTCCTGAGTAGCTGGGACTACAGGCATGTGCCACCATGCCCGGCTAATTTTTTTCTACATATATTAGTTGGCCAATTAATTTTATTTCTATTTATAGTAGAGATGGGGTTTTGCTCTTGCTCAGGGTGGTTTCGAACTCCTGACCTGGAGCAATCCTCCCACCTTGGCCTCCCAGAGTGCTAGGATTACAGGCGTGAGCCACCGCGCCCGGCCTCATTTGGTCTTTTAAAGCAGTGTTTCTCAGAGGGTTGGTTGCTGACTAACCCTATCAAAATTACCTGGGTTACTTGTAAAAGTTGGAGGTTCCTGGCCCTGCTTAAATTGACTGCTGTTGCAGACTTCATGGGCTCCCCCAGATGATCCTTATGCAATTTAAAGTTTGAAAAGGGCTTGTTTTAGACCCAGAAGTCTTTGTATATGATTCTTTTACAGCTTTAGAATTTCTAGAACTTTCTATGTAAAGGCTTCCTATTTCCCACACCTATTCAGTAGCCTTGGCCTCCTCATTACTGTAACTTTGATCAGTGAATCAACTTTTCAATGTATTGAGTGGTGCGATGGGGTGTGTCCGGTGGTGGTGGTGTTAAGAAGGGAAAGAGGGTCTTTGAATATGAATTAGGGAACCTGGTTCTCATAGTCTTGGAAGGTCTCAGCAGTAATATGACCTTGGGTAGCTCCATTGCACAGTAGTTCTGATCATGGAGTAAGACTCCTGAGTCCTGGCTCTGCCACATACTAACTGTGTAACTGTAGGTAAGTCCCACAACCTATCTGTGACTGTTTTCATGTCAGTTATGTGCCAGTTTCCCTTAGATCCATTTCCAGCATTTCCTCTGCAAACTATATTTTCCAGGCCCTCTTCTAGTTACCTTTGGTCAGTGAGGAAGATTAGAAGATGGGAGAAAGGGAGACAGTATTCCTCTCCCCCTGCTGTGTATGGTCTCTGTAGCCATGGCTGTGTGTCCTTGGTTCTAGCTCCTAGGCAGCCCTTGTTCCTGGCTCTGATAACAGCATATCTTTTCTTTTTCCCTCCAGCCCTAGGGATGGTAGTAACTTCTTGTGTTGCTAATCTTTGGGTTGTCTCATTATCCTGTTTGGGTTTTTTCCTTTTTCCAACCCCTGTATTTGTTCCCTGTATTAAATTTCTTGTGCTGAAACTATCTTGCATGGCCTCTGTTTTTGGAATCTTCCCAGTACAGTTCTCTGATCTATAAAATGAAGATATTCATAGTATTTACCTTCTAAGGTTGTGCTAATTAAATATGTTTGTGTTTTTTGATTTTTTTTTTTTTTTTTTACAGACTATTACGAGGGTACAAATGTTTAGGTTACATATATTGCCTTTGCCCCTCACGAGTCAGAGCTACAAGTGTGTCCATCCCCCAACCCCCGCCTTTTTTTTGAGACAAGGTCTCACTCTATCACCCAGACTGGAGTGCAGTAGTATGATCATTGCATCCTCCAACTCCTGGGCTCAAGCAGTCCTCCTAGCTTAGCGTCCTGAGTAGGTAGGACTACAGGTGCATACCACCATGCATGGCTAATTATTTTTATTTGTTGTAGAAATGGGGGGTGGTCTCACTATGTTGCCTAGGCTGGTCTTAAACCCCTAGCCTCAAGCGATTTTCCCCGCCTCAGCCTCCCAAAGTGCTGGGATTATAGGCATGTGCCACTGAGCCTGCTCTAATTAAATATTGTAATGCATGAAAAGCATTTAGAACTGAGATTATCATGGAATGTTTAATAAATGGTAGCAAGGAGCTATACTGAGTTCTTTTACCATCATTGATAAAATTGCAGTGTTATTTGTTTTGCCTTCAATAAATAGGAAGGTAAAGAGATACTGGTTATGAAGGCATTTAGAAAATAAAACATTTGTACATAGATATAAGATGGCATACTACTTCTAGTGAAATTACCTCTCATGGGTTGATTGGGCCCTTACTTTCAAGAAGCTACATTGTAGTTGGGGAGACTGAATACGTCTGTGGCAGGCTGTGGGGTAGAGTGTAAAGAGTAATAAATCTGGGGTCAGCAGGCCTGGATTGGAGTTTCAGTTCTGCTGTTCACTGGCTCTGTACCTTTAGGTCAGTGGTTCGCACACTTGACCAGCATAAGCATCATCTGGAAGGCCTGGTAATCTTAGATTACTGGTCCCCACCCAGGAATTTCTGACTCTGATTTGGGGAGTGGGGGAGGGTAGATGACAATTTGCATTTCTAACAAGTTCCCAGGTGGTGTTGATGCTGTTGCTGCTGCTCTAGGATCCATTTAGCTTTGCTTTCCTCTTCTGTAGAAGGGGGACAGTAACATTGGTTCTGCTTGCTTCAAGATTATACAGTTATGAAAACGGAAGGACTTTGTTGTGATAAAAAATATTGTCTATAACAACTGGAAGTGCCTTCATTTAACAAAAGACACCTTAGTTGACTTTAAAAATGTTTCCAAGACAGTAACACTTGCAGACTCAACTCATATAGTGTGAATTAAGTATGTAATTACAGTGAGTAGACATGAGAACTGAATGATGAGATCAGCTTTAGATGGCTGGTTTTTTTTTTTTTTTTTTTTTTGGTGGGTTGAAATGTTTTGAATTGGATTAAAAAGGAAATGAAAGGTGTGAATTGACAGCAAGCAGTCAGATGGGATGTGGGTTGGAAGTTCTATGTTCATGAAGTGGCAGCAGAGTGGAGGCCTGTTTAGGGAAGTCACAGTGCCCCCTGCTGCCCACCCCTGCCTCTTTTTCATTGCTACACTCTCATCCATGCTTAGAATGTCTTCTTTCCTTCTTGTGTGGCTGAATACTATACTCTTGCATCATATCCCAGTTCAAGTACTGTTTTTTCCATGAAAGTTTTTCCTGCTGACTCTTGCCCATTTTGATGTCTTCCTATCCTGAAGTCTTTCCTTCCTTCCAAAAGAATTATCTTTCCTAGACAATCACTTTTATTTTGTGATCTTTTGATCTTTTTAAAAGTTTTTAGTTTCTTGAACTCAGGGGCTAGGTTCTCTACTTGTATGTCTCTTAAGCCCTAAGCACAGTGTTGGGGTTGGTTTAAGTATGTAATAAATATTTCATACTTAAATATTTCAGATTGTGGTAGTCTATCCATTAACTCTAGTAGTGTCTAAAAGAGGAATCTTTTTTTTTGTTTTTTTTTTTTGAGACAAAGTCTTTCTCTGTCACCCAGGATAGAGTGAAGTTCATCCTAGGTCACTACAACCTCAAACTCCTGGGCTCAAGCCATCCTAAAAGAGGAATCTCGCTTTGTGTTTTTGCCTTCTTGTGTTTTCTACTTAACCATATATATATAGATTTCCCTCCTTCTTGCAGAAAGCCAATAGAATTCAATGAGCAAACTCATTTCTCAGAGACTAGAAGGGGTGAGCTGGGCCTTAGAACTGTATCTTCTGGTTCCAGATCCTGGGTTCTCTCTGTTATAGTGTGGTGCTTGCTTCCCAAGTTGGCTAGACTTCTTAAAATTCTCTAAGGGTTCCCCATTACCTTCAGGATGAAGTCTAAACTTCTTCAGGTGTGGTAAACAGGACTTATCACAACTTTGCTTTGGCCTGCCTTTCCAGTTTTATGCTCAGATACTCCCCTTTGCTGCGTCTGTGGAACCATTTACTAGACATCAAAGAGGGAAGAGGTCAAGGTAGGTAGAGATGAAGAAACGAGCACCTGCTTCATTTGATATGCACAAATGCTGTTAACTTCTATTTTACTTGTTATGTAATATATGGTAATATACAAAAGATTATATGTAAAGTCTATGTAGAGTTATTAATCATCATAATTAAACATCCATCTCTGAGCCCACCATTCAACTTAAGAATTAAACCATTCTCAACACTAGCAAAATTCCGTGTGTGCCTCTCCCCCTTTCCTGTAGAGCAGGGTGGGTTTAACCACATGCTGCCTTGCCTGCTGCTCCTCTTCCTGCCTCTCTGGAAAAGGCTGTCAGTGAGAAGATTTCCCTCACCTTCTACCAAGATTCCATCTGGCCTTGTTCTGTGCATTGACTCTATTCTGGGGTTTGCTGGTGAAAGTCTTGATGACGAGTAGTATCTTCCTCCCTTGCAGGTCAGGCTGGGAAGCTGATGTATGTGATGCACAACTCAGAGTACCCATTGAGCTGTTTTGCCCTCTTTGAAAATGGCCCTTGCCTTATTGCCGACACCAACTTCGATGTGCTCATGGTGAAGCTCAAGGGCTTTTTCCAGAGTGCTAAGGCCAGCAAGATTGAGACTCGGGGCACCCGTTACCAGTACTGTGACTTCCTGGTGAAGGTGGGCACGGTCACAATGGGGCCCAGTGCCCGGGGCATCTCTGTGGAGGTAAGACCTTGGTGAAATAGGAGCAGAATGTACTGAGCGGGCTCTTGAGCAGAGGGCTGTGAAGATTTCCCAGTCCTCAATTCTAACGGATATTTATGTCCAAAACCCCAGTGTCTTTGTTGTTTTTTGTTTGTTTGTTTTTTTGAGACAGAGTTTCACTTTGTTGCCTGGGCTAGAGTGCCGTGGCATCAGCTTAGCTCACAGCAACCTCAAACTCCTGGGCTTAAGCAATCCTCCTGCCTCAGCCTCCTGAGTAGCTGGGATTACAGGCATGCATCACCATGCCTGGCTAATTTTTTGTATATATATTTTTAGTTGGTCAATTAATTTCTTTCTATTTTTAGTAGAGACGGGGTCTTGCTCAGGCTGGTTTCAAACTCCTGACCTTGAGCAATCTACCCGCTTCGGCCTCCCAGAGTGCTAGGATTATAGGCGTGAGCCACCACGCCTGGCCTTTGCCTTTCTTTTGATATGCTGTCTGCTTTCATTTTGGAAAGAGGTGTGTATGACATGACTTCATTTTGTAAGCCTAAATATATATATATGTTGACAATGGTGCTGCATGCAGTGGCTCATGCATGTAATCCCAGCTACTTGGGAAGCTGAGGTGGGAGAATCCTTTGAGCCCAGGAATTTGAGGCTGCAGTGAACTATGATCGCACCATTGCATTCCAGCCTGGGCTACAGAACAAGATCTCATCTCTAAAAATAAAATAAAATAAAAGTAAATGAAAAAAAAAAGAAAATGCCAAAGAGGGAATATGGCAGTAGCTAGCTTTGGAACCAGGTAAAGTCCACAGCCTATAATATGCCCAGTACTGAGATAAAAATATAAGTAAGCTTACAGGGCCTGCCTTTTGAAAATTTGTGATTTAGTAAGAGAATGAGGCACACAACTATTTTTGAAGTTAATCTAAGAAATGCCATAAAAGAGGCAGTTTGTGGGTAGGCACAGTGTCTCATGCCTATAATCCCAGTGCTTTGGGAGGCTGAGGTGGGAGGATCTTTTGAGGCCAGAAATTTGAGACCAGCCTGGGCAACATAGGAAGACTTCATCTCTAAAAAAATTTTTTTAAATTATCTGGGCATGGTGGCTCATGCTGGAAGTCGCAGCTACTTGGGAGGCTGAAGTAGGAAGATCGCTTCAGCCCAGGAGTTGAATGTTACTGTGAGCTGTGATCAGGCCTGGGTGCAGATCACTGCACTGGGTGACAGAGAGAGATACTGTCTCTTAAGAAAAGGTTGGGGGGAAGCAGTTTCAGGCCAGCAACTTAGGTTGTGATGTTTCCTGGAGGATGAACATTTAAGTGGGGATTTAAAACATAGAGACATGGGGCCAGGCGCGGTGGCTCATGCCTGTAATCCTAGCACTCTGGGAGGCCGAGGCATGCAGATTGCTGGAGGTCAGGAGTTCGAAACCCACCTGAGCAAGAGTGAGACCCTGTCTCTACTATTAATAGAAAGAAATTAATTGGCCAACTAATATATATAGAAAAAAAAATTAGCCGGGCATGGTGGCACATGCCTGTAGTCCCAGGTACTTGGGAGGCTGAGGCAGTAGGCTTGAGCCCAGGAGTTTGAGGTTGCTGTGAGTTAGGCTGATGCCACGGCACTCACTTTAGCTTGGGCAACAAAGCGAGACTCTGTCTCAAAACAAAACAAAACAAGACAAAACAAAACGAAAAAAACATGTAGAGATATGGGGATAAGTAAGTGTAGGAAGCATCCCAGGCTGAGACCAGGGCCCAGGTGGTAGTTTCTGCTCAGCAACCTCCAAGATTTCCTAACCCTTTTCACCTTGTGGTATACCTTGCACTTGCTGGGACCCACTGTGTATTCTGCACATTTCCTGCCTTGTAGTACAAACACACACCAGCCATTTCTTTCTTTATTTCCCCTTATGGTTACCAGTAATTTCCTCTTACCATCTCTCCAGTGAACAAAGGGGAGAGGAATGAGAAAACCTAAGATGTATATTTTTGGGCCATTGTCATATTGGGGCAAATTGTTAGGGCAATTCTTAGGGTCAGAGGCCAGGCTGGATCTACCTTGGGAGTAATGTTTGGTCTTGAAGAGACTCATTTGTCTCCTCTGCCCTCTACTTACCACCCTCACCTCTGCCATACACACATTTTCTTTCTCTCTCTGTTGTGTCTCTCAGAATTTTCCTGAGCTCTTTTGAACCTTCACCCAGCATAGCAGTCCTAAGATAATAAAAATGGGCCCAGATCTGCCTTTGGGTCTCGTAGGGAGGGCTGTGGGTTGGCACAACTCCAGGATGAGAATATCAGAGATGTCTAATGGGTATGATGCTGGGTGTGCTGAGTCCCTGGTGTTTGGGTTGAATATTTTCTATGGACCAGCACTATCCTAGAAGATGTGTGTCTCTGGCTTAGGGTTGGGGAAGACGGGAGCTGGGGGCAGGAGGTACAAGATAAGTGAACCTTGTCTTTGCCCTCACTCACCCTCATTCTCTGTTCTTTTGATCCCCAGGTGGAGTATGGCCCCTGTGTGGTAGCTAGTGACTGCTGGAGCCTGCTGCTTGAGTTCCTACAGAGTTTTCTAGGCAGTCACACACCAGGGGCTCCTGCAGTGTTTGGGAACAGACATGACTCGGTCTACGGCCCAGCAGATACCATGGTCCAGTACATGGAACTCTTCAACAAGATCCGCAAGCAGCAGCAGGTGCCAGTGGCTGGGATTCGTTAGTGACTGGCAGCTGCCAGCTAAGCTCTGTCACCAGGGATACTCCACAGGAGGAGCAGGTGCCGTACTCTTGGGTCTCTGGACTCCAGATACTCAGTGTAAAAGTGGAGGCTACTCTCCTTCTTCAGTTCCCAGATGTGCCTTTTGTTCTGGGGCTCTGGACTTCCCTCCCCTGACCCTCATACACAGCTCCCAACAGCTGTTTTACTCCATGCCTTACTGGATTTGACCTGTTCTCGAGAATGCTAATTATGAAGAATGCAGATGTTTGGAAGTTTCTTGCTTTAGGGGAAAAGGCAGGACAGGGGTGTCCCTGCCTAGTGCTGGTGGGGAAAACAATCTGTATCCCCAAATATTGAGAGTTTGGCTTAGGCCCACAGTGAACATGCTGCATTTGTGTTTGGGCTGTGCTGTAATAAAAGCCTCTCCCTCCACTGAAAGGGTGTGGCTGGGCCTCTATCCTGGAGATGGAGTGAAAAACTTGTTTGATTATCATTTTCTGACCTGTTTGTTGAAACAGTTTGTGAATTGACTTTCTTAGGGTATTGTCTGAGTCCTTTGAACTGTTGTTCAGACATCTTTCCCTTCTGTTGTGAATGCTGTTAAGCTGTAAGCTAATCTACTGTAACAGAGAACCAAAAGTACAGTGGCTCTTAATAGATAAAAGTTGTTTTTTCTCTCATCTAATAGTACAGAGGTAATCAGATGGTCTAGGGTAGATTTAACTCTACAAGGTCATTAGAAATTTGGTTTCCTTCTGTCCTGTTGTTCTGCACTACCCTCCCACCCCCAGGATGTTGTCTTTACCCACAAGGTCAAAGTAGACTCATCAGCTCTATGTCTGCATTCCAGTGGGGGAGTGGGAGGGGAGGGAGAGACTTAGAGAAAGAGCAGGTTCTTTTTTAAAGAATATGACCTGGAGTTGCTTTAAATCACTGTGGCCACAACTTTGCTGATAGGGATGCTGGGAGATAGAGCCTCTTATCTGGGCAGTCATACGCCTAGTTAAAACTCAGGGGTTCTGTGACTAAAAGACTTGGAAAACATGGATGCTGGTATCCAGTTAGTGGCCTCTGCTACATGGAGCTAAATGAACATGCCCTGTAATGCTATTGGCTGTTATTTTGCAGTTAATACCCTCTGTAACTAAGGCATTTGTCCATGAGTTGGCTTGGGATAAGGGATGATCCCAGAGTTACTTTGAACTTACCTGGATTAGTCACACTAGGAAGTCATTCCTTGTCTAAGTCTCAGCATTGAGGCCTCTTTAGTTCTCACACACCCAGAGCTTAGGGTTAGAACAATTGATCCTGGTACTTGCACCCTGCTTTATGGTTTCCTGAGCTCTTTCTCCTTGTTTCATTTGAGCCTCCAAGCTACTATTTGATCACATTGCCTGCCTACCCCACTCCTGCTACAGAAATATTCAACCAGGCTAACCTTGGGATACACAGAGATGGTCTTAGGAACGTTGTTAATGTATGTATTACAGTGTTATCAAAGATACTGTTCCTTACTGAAGGCAACCAAAGAGAAATTTTCAGATCTAAGTGCTCAGATCTAAAGCCTCTGCAACAAGAGTCAGGTTCTGGTCTTGTTTCTCTTCCAGCTTTGGCTGCAGGAAGCTCAATTCAACTTTATAAATATAGGACCTGTCATCTGCATTTTTTTTGTTCTAATTTCTCCATTTTTGTTGTTGTTTATTTTGTTTTTGCTTTTTAATATCATGGTATGTTTTAGATATCATTTATAATAAAATGCACAGATCTTATGTTTTTGGCCTTCTGATTTATATTTGCTGTTGTCCAAATTTATCTATTTGTATTTTTCTGTATGCTGCCTCAAATCTTTTATGGAAAGAGATAACATATAGGTAGGATTTCTAACATAATATGTTCCTGAAAATATGCAGAAGTTGAGTGTGGTGAATATGGACTCTCTAGACCACAGGTGGGGAACCTGTGGTCTTAAGGCCACATGTGGTCTCCTAGGTCCTTAAGTGCAGCCTTTTGACTGAATCCAAATTTTACAGAATGAATCCTTTTATTTTTATTAATATATTTTTGTTTGTCTTTTATATTTTTATTTTAAAATGAGTGTATTTTAAACTGGAAACTACAAAGGAAAAATTTTGTAATGAATATTTTATAAATAAAGGTACATTTAGCTACAATTTCCCATTTTCTCTAGATATAGCAACTCTTAGGACACCCTATGTAACTAGCATTTTATTCCTTAAGATGAGTAAGTTAATAGATCACCTTGCACAGATTTTCCTTCAAAGGGATCTATTATTAAGTTATAGTACAGGTGATACATGCAAATGGCAAAATCTGTGGATGTAGAAGGCAAATGCTGGGATTTGGGGAACAGTTGTAATCTACTTTGTGTCTAGTTCCTGCATCCATGGATGGTTCCTGCTCTGGCTGTGCTTTCCTGTTGTCTTTTTTGCTGCTTCAATTCTCTTTTTTCTTTTTTTTTTTACTTCAGACAGGATCAGGTCAAGCTTCGATTCTCTATACCCTTTCCCTAGCTGCCTCCTGCTGGCTTTCCTCAGATACTATGTACAAAGTAGTCATATTCCCTATCTATTGGTGTAGCTGCTTCACCGAAGGAAATACCTTTAGACTGACCACTCCTCCTCCCTACCAGTAGCACACCCCAACCCAGTGTGTCCTGAGGCTTCAGGGTAAGGCAATTAGTAAAATTTTTCTCTCCAAATCCTGAGAGGTAAGAGGAACAGTTAGAAATTTTCCATTTAAGCATGTGCTCCAGGTGTCAAAAGTTGACCAGAAGGACTGATGTATGGCCTTGCTGTCTCCAAGCCATACTTTTAACTCCCAACATTGCCTTCTGCTTGTCACAGCCTCCCTCTCCACATCTGTTGCTGTCTGGGTAGGCCCCAATACCACTGCATGCAGAATGGCTGAAACCAGTTGCATTACAAATTTGGGTGTCTCCAGCTTGTGAACACTCATTTCTTGAGGGTGGGCTCTCCCAAGATGAGTCTCTACCATTGTGTAGAGCATTCCCAAATCAGTTTTTTGGGTTAGAAGGACCTTTTAGATCAGCTGGTTGGACCATCCATCATTCAGTATTCAAATCTCTGTTACACTGTCCCTCCCAGAGGTCATGCAGTCTTGGCTTCATCTAGGGAAATCCCTTCCCTATATATTTAATTCTTTTTTCATTAATTCTGAGACAAAACACATAACAAAACACACCTGTCCTTTCCCGCTCAGATTATGGAGACTGTATTATGCTTAATGAGGGAATGTGTTAGTTTATGCTGGAATGTGACAAGAGTAGGACTCTTAAAATGAGTTCTTATGTTACTGCAGGTTATCAGCTCGTGAGGGGAGCCTTAAGAGGCCCAAGATACCTTGAAACTAGACACAGAATTTTGTGTATGTGTGCAGTTTTTTTGTTGTTTTTTTTTGAGACAGAGTCTCACTCTGTTGCTGGGCTAGACTGCCGTGGCATCAGCCTACCTCACAGCAACCTCAAACTCTTGGGCTCAGGTGATCCTCCTGCCCCAACCTCCCAAGTAGCTGAGACTACAGGTATGCGGTACCATGCCCAGCTAATTTTTCTATATATTTTTAGTTGGCCAATTAATTTCTATTTTTAGTAGAGATGGGGTCTCACTCTCGCTCAAGCCGGTCTTGAACTCCTGAGCTCAAGCAATCCTTCCTCCTTGGCCTCCCACAGTGCTAGGTTTACAGGTATGAGCCACTGCACCCTGCCTGTATATGTACAGTTTTTGAGAATAGGATCTATAGGTCTTGGTAGAGTATCTCAACTGTCTGTGATCCAAAAAGGAGTCACTAAAGGAAGAGCAAATCCTGAAAGGGAAACAGCATGAAGACAATGTTAAGCAGGTTTGAAAAAGATCCAGCAGGCTGTTGTGAGCAAGATCTTCCCCTGCCTTTTGGACCTTGCATCGTGGTTCTTAGCCAGATGATTGTCCTCCTTCATTTTATAGTCCTTCAGTCTTTTCAGACACTTTCTGGGAAGCTGGGCTGTGTTTGTGCTCTTATCTTTCCTATAAGTTTCCCCTTTTCCTTTTAGAAATACGTAGGAGTAAAGATGTGTGAAGCAATCTTTATAGTTTTCTTTGGGCCTCAGAGTTACTCTTCCATTATGACATACTCCATGAGATCTGACAATTATTCTGTTGTAATAGAATTTGGCATAATGAGTATATATTTCATGTTTCAGAATGAGGTGATTGATGAGGCAGAGAAATAGTTCTTTGCCTCTATGATGAAATTTGCAAGTAAAAAAAAAATTCTTGCAACTATTAGGGCAAAGATTCCTAATTCTCTTGCATTCTCTGTTTCATTTCCGAACATACCTCTGCCCTATGAGCTAGCATAGATCAGTTTTTAAGATTAATATGAATTCTACTGAATTTCTTTGGAGGTTTTAAAAAAGTGCATTTAGGGACCACAGTTATATAGCCTAGATTGTTCCAAAGCCAGAATTCAATATTGGAAATCCCGTTGTATAGGAAAGGGAAGGCCAGGGATTGTGGAGATGACAGGTGTTCTGAGGCAGCCTGCTGAAGAGAAGAGAATGCTGCTTTACAAGACAGATGGCTGGGTGCTAGCCACTGGCCCTGACTTGCCAGGTGACTTCAATCAAGTTCTCGCTGGGTCTGATTTGTATAATGGGAATAATGATGCCTACTTTCCATATTTCATAGGGTTGTTGAGAGGCTGAAAGGAAAGTAGATATGAAGAATACTTTGTAGACAAGGAGATGCTGTCTCTGTTCTTGAGTCTTTTTAATGTTGGTAAAGATATTGGTGTTTGGTTAGGATGTTTAACAAGGCAGGTTTATGGAGTCATTACTGCTTGGTGGTAGGTTATAATTCTCTCCCAACCCAAAGAGTGCTTTTGTAATAGAGAATGAGCAGTGTGGAAAGAAGGTCCAGAGTGTATTTTTTTTTTTTTTTTGAGACAGAGTTTTGCTCT